GTTGAAGACAGTTGGAGGTCTCTCGTTTATAGGGTCACCATAAGTTGAGCTCAACTTCAAGGCAGTGAACAACAATGGCATTTCTTTGCTGACATGTTTTTTATCTAGACGCTTTGAATTATTCCTGTTCTGTGGTGCCTTCAGTCCCAGTTTTTGAAGACAGACAGGATACAGATCAAAGGACGAAAAGAAGAGCTTCTTCTTAAGCCTGTGGCTTGCAGCTGGAAAGTCCTGGAAGGCTGGTACGTGGGTGCTTTGTATCAGAGAACTTCTAACCATGTTAGGTGAGGATGAAGCGGGGAGAAAAAACATGAACCTATTGATAGAAAGGTAGGGTAGGACTATCTCTCGCTATAAAATTCAAAGTGTGTATGTCGGTCTGTCTATCTGTCTGTACCACAAAGGCTCTACCTAGGTGAAGTGTCCCTCTGTGATGTGACTGGAGTAGCTGTTGATAGAATCATAGAATCATAGAGTTGGAAGAGACCTCATGGGCCATCCAGTCCAACCCCCTGCCAAGAAGCAGGAATATTGCATTCAAACCACCCCTGACAGATGGCCATCCAGCCTCTGTTTAAAAGCTTCCAAAGGAGCCTCCACCACACTCCGGAGCAGAGAGTTCCACTGCTGAACAGCTCTCACAGTCTTCCTCATGTTCAGATGGAATCTCCTCTCTTGTAGTTTGAGGCCATTTTTCCATTGCGTCCTAGTCTCCAGGGAAGCAGTAAACAAGCTTGCTCCCTCCTCCCTGTGACTTCCTCTCACATATTTATACATGGCTATCATATCTCCTCTCAGCCTTCTCTTCTTCAGGTTAAACATGCCCAGTTCCTAAAGCCGCTCCTCAAAGGGCTTGTTCTCCAGACCCTTGATAATTTTAGTTGCCTTCTTCTGGACACATTCCAGCTTGTCAACATCTCTCTTCAATTGTGGTGCCCAGAATTGGACACAATATTCCAGGTGTGGTCTAACCAAAGCAGAATAGAGGGGTAGCATTACTTCCCTAGATCTAGACACTATGCTCCTATTGATGCAGGCCAAAATCCCATTGGCTTTTTTTGCTGCCACATCACATTGTTGGCTCATGTTTAACTTGTTGCCCACGAGGAATCCAAGATTTTTTTCACACGTACTGCTCTCGAGCCACGCGTCCCCCATTCTGTATTTTTGCATTTCGTTTTTTCTGCCTAAGTGGAGTATCTTATAGCATTTGTCCCTGTTGAACTTCATTTTGTTAGTTTGATAAATGAAAGGTTGGCCGTTCCTAGGTGAAGTGGCCCTCTGTGATATCAGAGGGAAAGGAAGGTGACGGGTGACAGGGTGGAGGGAAGGAAAGAGAGAACCATGTTGCCATGGAGACATTGTGAGGTAGGCCCTCTCACAACTGGAAAGGGGGGAAAGTGAAGTGGAAGGGAAGAAAGGAAAAGAAGAGAAAGAAAGGAAAAGAGAAGGAAGGAAGGGGGAGAAAGGAAAAGGAGAGAAGGAAGGAAGGAAAGAAGGGATGAAAACAGGGGGCAGCGGCCCCTCCAACATCAGGCAATATCGTGAATATATGCTAAAGTAAAGGAAAAGGTCCCCCCCCCCCCCCCCCGGCATTAAGTCAAGTTGAGTCCGACACTGGGAGCTGGTGCTCATCTCCATTTCTAAGCCAAAGATCCAGAATTGTCAGGACACACCTCCAAGGTCATGTGGCCGGCATGATGACCTTCCCGCTGGAGTGGTACCTATTGATGTACTCACAACATTTGCATGTTTTTGAACTGCTAGGGTGGCAGAAAATGGGGCTAACACTCCGCTCCACGGTCAGCAAGTTCCACAGATCAGCGGTTCAACCCGCTGCGCCACCGTGGCCCTCGTATATATGCTATCTGTATCTATATCTATCTAAAAGTCATTGTATGTATGTATGTATGTATGCGGCGGACATAGGTGTATGTGGCAGCTTTCTGATTGGCTGCCACTGTGGTACAATTTGCACATGGTCTCTGATTGGCCAGCCAAAACATTCCAACACTCTCAAGTGGCTGAGAGGGAAAGGAAATTTGCATATGGTTTCTGATTGGCCAGCCTCAACAGGAACCCCTAGTGGCGCAGGATGATGTGACTTGAAGTACCTCCACTCGCTTTCCGAGACCGCTGCGACCCTCATCCAATGACTGAACAAGACCAAACTTGGCAGACATAACCCCCATGACCCCTTTTACATCCCTGTGAGTTTTGGGGGAGGGCGGACAATGGATGATGGGATTTGTAGTACTTTCCAACACTTCGGTTCCCAGAGACCACTGCGGCCACCAACAATGACCAATAAAGACCAAACTTGGCACACAGAGCACCCATGACCCATTCTACATCCTACTGCAGCTTGGAGGAGGATGGACCATGAATGATGGGACTTGAAGTACCTCCACTCACTTCCCGAGACCGCTGCAACTCTAATCCAATGACTGATCAAGACCAAACGTGGCACACAGAGCCCCCATGACCCACTCTACATCCTGGTGCAGTTTGGAGGAAGATGGACCAGTAAGTGAACTCCCTAAGAGCACTACGAGTCACATAAATAACTGATGAAGACCAACCTTGACACACAATGCCTTTCTCAAATAACCCGGGCAGCGACGGGTCCCCAAGCTAGTTAACTAATAAATAACAAATAATATTGCACCTCAGGCCCTCCAGCTCAGGCTCCAGTACTCTGTTTTAGCCGCAGACTGAACACTAACTCTGGATCTGGCTCCTGTCTGCCACCTTGCCCTACCCTGGTCTTGGCAAAGTGTTGTTGTTTTGTTGCACAGATTTCATGGGCTGAGTTGGCAGTCCTCCCCGCTTCCACCAACTCCCCCCCCCCCCCCCCCCCCGTTTGCTAACTCCAAAAACATTTCTGTACAGACTTGCCCTAGTTTTTTTTTTCCAAACTCTTCCTTGTGCCGACACTCCTCTCCAGCCTCCAGAGCAACTCCAACTCTGCATAACCCCATTGCGGGTTGGAAATGTTAACAAATCAGCAGAAATTTCATTTCGACAGAGTGCCGGAGGGGAGGCGGGGAGAGGCCGGGGATTGGGGAGAGAAAGCAATCTGTCAGATCTCTCCTCTGCTCACGTCCATTCCCATTGCTCCCCATTGTGTCTCTTGATTGCTTATTCTTCTTCCTTAAAAAGAAGTCCTGGAGAATATTTAAACAATAGCTTAGCTGCCGGGATGAATCACTAAACATATATCGAGCTAAATATACAGAAATAACCCGCCCACCTGCACGCTTTGCCTCTGTGCAGAAGCCAGAGGAGTTTCTGCTGCGATGGGGTTTAGAATAAGCCAAGTCGGCAATTTCAAAATTACATTCACTTGCTGGAGCAGGGGGAAAAAAAGAATCTACAGCTCTGGTCGGCAACTCCTTTCCTTTATAAAACCCAGGGCTTAGTTTTGAACCCAGCAAGACCTAAGCTAGATCTGTCTTTCTTTGGAAAACCATAACAAAGGCAAAAAGTTCCTTAAAAGTTCACCAGATAGAAGAGAAGAATGCCAAGCTATAGGAAGCATGGGAGGCCTAACCTGCAACTAGACCAGTGTGCTGGTACGGCTGTACCAGGAGCTCCAACTTTATTGTCTTTCTGTTATGTGTTTGCAGTCATAGGGCAGGCCTCCTGTCCATCATAATTAAGCTTTGGTTCTGCCCCTTGTTCAGGGCTCTGGGAGGGAAAGGAGCCATTTTTTGGGCTTTCTCACACAAGGAAGCTAAACTATAGGATGTAGACCAGCTCGTCCCCTAGAAAAGCTTCTTTTCTCAAGAACATCCAGGGAAACAGGAACAGAAATTCCAGGGAAGAGGTCCCAAGACTCTGGCTGAGAGCTCTCAGCCTCTCAGCCTCACAGCAATCAGAGGGAAAACAGCCCTGAAGTTTTCAAAGAATTCTCTGAGGGAGGACAGCATTACAAATCCATGGAACTCCCGCTGAAATATCTACAAGCCTCGGCTGGTAGGTCTACTCGATACCCAGATGCATTTGGAATCGGTAGTAGGACCCACACCAATGAGGCATAGATAGTAAACAGCCTGGGAGAGGTTAAATAGGGTTTTTTTTTCCTACAGAGAAAGTACAGTTAATCAAAGTCAGGTACCAGTCCATTGAGGACTAGACTAAGAAAGCCTTGAAGTGTTGTTTGAACCATTGAAGATTTGTTGTTTGTTCCATAATAAAGACTTTGTTGTATCATTAAAGACTCTAAAGACCATCACTTCAGAAAAATCCCTGAGAACCTCTCTTTGAGGCCCCCTGGCTTCCCGCTGGGCTTAAAGTATATGTCCTATAGAAAAGACAGCTGTTACAGGCCCAGCGCGCAACGGAACAACCAGTGTTTCTCATTCTGGGGGTCATGACCCCTAGGAGGGTTTCAGAGGGGTCGTCAATATTTCTGATGACTTTAGGAACCCCTTTGGCAGAGAAAGCTGAAGATCTCTCTGCCTGTCATTCTCTTCCTTTTTAGAAACAGATGGTGATTCCTCCCACCAAAAGCCCTCCTCCGCTGTGATTGGACGGCCTCTCAGCCAAGGGGAGAGCTGTTTCTGAGATTCCAAGTGGGGGAGAGCAGGTGTGGAGATTCCATCTGAAAATTAGGAAGAACTTCCTGACGGTGAGAGCCGTTCAGCAGTGGAACTCTCTGCTCCGGAGTGTGGTGGAGGCTCCTTCTTTGGAAGCTTTCAAACAGAGGCTGGATGGCCATCTGTCAGGGGTGCTTTGAATGTAATATTCCTGCTTCTAGGCTGGATGGCCCATGAGGTCTCTTCCAACTCTATGGTTCTATGATGCATACAATGGTAAAATCAAAATTTGTTTTTTTGGAAATGTTATTTTGGAGGAATATTTTCAAGCTGTGCATGGTTGAATCTGTTGGTACAGAATTTATATATATGGAGGGCCAGCAATCTACATCGCAGAAGCTCACTTAGCCCAGAGGGGACTAAAACCATCATCTCCCCATGCTTCCACTTCCCACTAACCTGATTCTCTTTCTGCAGGAGGCTCTTCACCATTTGGGTCTTTCCAAGCAGCTTGGTCATGAAGCACAGGCTCAGGTTCTTGCGTAGTTGTCTAGAGAAGAAAGAGGGAGAGATTAGGCCCAGTTCCAATCCTTGCTGTCTTCCATTCAGTATGACTGGTGAATGAATCCATGGAGAGTTTTACAGGAAGACCTCCATATCATTGGGAGATATACTCATAGCTTATTCATGAGTATATATTTATTTATTTTATTTATTTACTTTGCTTATATACCGCTGTATCTCAAGCCCGAAGGCGACTCACAGCAGTTCACAAACAGTAAAAACAGTAGAAACAGCAGTGATTCTACAACATATAACAACACATTATCCATAAATCATCAATAAGCAATTACAATGCACAATTATTACAAAAAACAACCGTACCCAATCATCTCATCATCCAAGCGTAGTCCAGGTTCGTCGTCCATTGTTCCATTCCTATGTTCCATTACCAGATTGCACTAAATTACTCAAACGCCTGCACAAACATCCAGGTCTTCAACTTTCTTCGGAATGCCATGAGAGATGGCGCCAGCCTAATGTCTGTAGGAAGGGCGTTCCACAGCCGAGGAGCCACCACCGAGAAGGCCCTATCTCTTGTCCCCGCCAACCGTGCTTGAGAAGCCGGCGGGACCGAGAGCAGGGCCTCCCCGGAAGATCTCAAAGTCCTGGTGGGTTCATAGGCCGAGATGCGGTCGGAAAGGTATCTTGGGCCGGAACCGTTTAGGGCTTTATAGGCCACCTTGAATTGAGCCCGGTAGCAAATCGGCAGCCAATGGAGCTGGCACAACAGGGGGTTGTGTGCTCCCTGCGCTCCGCTCCTGTTAGAATCATGGCTGCCACACGTTGGACTAATTGAAGCTTCCGGGCCGTCTTCAAGGGCAGCCCCACGTAGAGAGCGTTGCAGTAGTCTAGGCGGGATGTGACAAGAGCGTGGACTACTGTGGCCAAGTCAGGCTTCCCAAGGTACGGGCGTTCACATATAGGGGTGTTCACATCTAGAAGAAACAGGTTGCTTACTTGTAACTGTGGCCCTTTGAGGGGTTCTCTTGGCCTCATCACTAGAGCATGGATCCACTTTAAATCCAGTTTCTGCCTCCTGCAGAATTCTGGGGCTTGTACTTTAGGGAGGGGCCTTTAAAGTGCTCAGCCAGACAGATGCTGGACAATCTTTTCCAGAATCTTGCCTGGTATCGATGTGAGGCTGACAGGGCGGTAATTGTTTGGGTCATCTTTTTTTCCCTTCTTGAAGATTGGGACCACATTAGCCCTCCTCCAATCTGCTGGACCAGGGACCACTTTGACCAGGGACCACTCTCCAACATTTATACCAAAAGGCTTACAAATCGTTTTTGTGTGTTGTCGAAGACTTTCATGGCTGGAATCACTGGGTTCCAACAGACCTCACTACCTCTGAGGATGCTTGCCAAAGATGCAGGCAAAACGTCAGGAGAAAATGCCTCTAGAACATGGCCATATAGCCTGAAAAAACCTACAACAACCTAAATCAGTTTTGGTTTGGTTATTTGGGATATTATTTGAGAACACACAAATGCTAGACCACTCCAACAACCACCATGTCAGACTACACAGAGAAGCAGTGAAATCCACAAGCATGTAGACAATTTCAATAGAAAGGAGGAAACCATGAAAATGAACAAAATCTGGCTACCAGTATTAAAAAACTCTAAAATTACAACAGCAAAACAACAGAGAGGAAACAATCTAGGACATCTAATCACCTCTCAACAAAAGATTGCCCCAGGCACTAGCAAGCCACACCAAACAACAGCCAGGCCATCAAATGCTAATCAAGGTGATCAGTTGAAACATTCACACCTCCCTCCAACAGACAAGAGTTCTTTGTCACACCCTGGTCATTCCACAGATATATAAACCCATTTTCCTAGTTCCAACAGAGCTCACCACCTCTGAGGATGCTTGCCTAAGGCGAAATGTCAGGAGAAAATGCCTCTAGAACATGGCCATATAGCCCAAAAAAACCTACAACAACCCAAATCAGTTTTGGTTTGGTTATTTGGGATGCTTATTCAGAAAATTGCACTGGACAGACCACATCAGCTCTAGTTTCTGATACAGACCATATGCCATCCAGTAGTAGCCATCTGCTCGCCCACAGAAAACTTTATTTTAGGTCTCGCAGCCCACCAGTGGGCCATGGTCCACAGGTTGGAAACCACTACTATAGGGTGATGTAAACTCACACAAATGGGTATCCTGGATGGTGCACTATTTCAAAAGCTGTGATGGAAACCCTGCCTCTCCTTCTGTGCGCATGGCCAGTGCGATTCCCATTCAATCCCACATTAGCACCTGAGGAGAGTGGATCAGCCATAGGGGGAGGATGGATGGGGTTGTGTGAATTCACAGATGACCACACAACGGAACACCATTACAGGCACATAACCTTTTTTTTCTTTCTCATGGAAGTCCATAGGATGCCATCTTTAAGTATTGGAAAGGATGTCCCATTGAGGAGGGGCAAGCTTGTATTCTGTTGCTTTGGAGACTAGAACCCAGTGGATTCCAGTTACAAGAAAAGAGCTGCATTTCTGTCTTGTCTATGTGGACTTGTCAGCCAATGGAGGCTGGTTCTGGTCCAGGAGTGCCAAAATGCCAGTCTTGTTTCCCACCAACGTCATCACTTTGTATCATCAGAGCACAGGAAATCTGTTTTAATTAACTTCCCTCCGCTTGGGGTTTGGACCCCGACCAAGCGGCTTCGGTAGCTTTGGTCCTAGGCAGGTGTCGGCGAAGAGCCTCGCATCGCCAGGCTGCGTTGGGCTGATTAAAGAGAGACTTGTTGGTGAAGAGAGTTATTGATGTGCCTGCTGCCGCCAGAGGTTTCCCAGAGCCATGGGACCAATATATAGAAACGGGATACATCTGTGGAGCCGGCATAATAACATGATAAAAGTCTGAAGTACAAAACAGGTGAGAGACTGAACACAGGCCAGTGGTTTAGCAGGAGTGTACTGTTTGCTATTTGCTCACACCAGTAGATGTGATGGCCCAGCAGAGAAAAGAAGAATTCAGAGGGAGGAAATGCATTGCCTGACCCATTTTCTGAAGGCTTTTTTTCCTGGAAAAATTGAAATATGGTAAAAATTGGAATTATGCACAACCACTGGCTATGTTCATTGGGTGGGTTGTGAAAGTTGAAGCCCTTCAAATAACCTGCTTCGGTGCTGCTTAAAGCCCTTGAAATGAATGGTGTTCCCATGCTAAGCAACAGGGAGCCTCAAAGGGAATAGCAAAATAGGGTTATGGCCTGACATGTTTTGGTATTGTACTTCAGGCAAGAAATCCCATGATATCTCTTGACCCTGGCTGGTAGGGAGGGAAATAGAAATTAAAAAATAAGGAAACTGATGTTTATCTTTTCTTCAGAAATGGAATTGAAGTGGCAGCCGCTGTGTCCATAGGAGGCTGTGGATCTGCTTCCGGTTTATATTCAGAAACTGGGTTGCTGTAAGTTTTTTGGGCTGTATGGCCATGTTCCAGAAGCATTCTCTCCTGACGTTTCACCCGCATCTATGCCAGGCATCCTCAAAGGTTGAGGGGTCTGTTGGAAACTAGGAAACTGAGGTTTATATATCTGTGGAAGGTTCAAGGTGGGAGAAAAAACTCTTGTCTATTGGAGGCCAGTGTGAATGTTTCAATTGGCCACCTTGATTAACATTTAATGGCCTAGCAGTTTACAAGATGTGGTTTCTTACTGCCTGGATGCATCCTTTGTTGAGAGGTGATTAGCTGAAACTATTCAGAAACGGTCGCACTTAGTGAAGCCTATCCCACCAATAGGTTCAGGGTGGCTCTTTTGAAATTCAGATTATAGTGAGACCCCTGTAACCACAGCATCCAATCAGTGATCTCTCTAGGAATATGCTGTGCAGGAAATTCCAAGATATTCTTGCCCCATAAGATTACATTGGAGAACCTAGTAAACTCCTAAAGAGGATACATCTAGGAATTTCTAGATCAGCGTTTCTCAACCTGGGGGTTGGGAACTCCACTGTGATCGGCCGGCCCCTTAGCCAAGGGGAGGGCTGTTTCTGAGACACCAAGTGGGGAGGGGAGAGCGGGTGTGCTTGGTGCATGGCAGCATGGTGCACATTTGCGGGTGAGGGAGAGCATGCGAGGCGGGAGGGAGACTCACATCAGCAAGTCCCTTCAAGGCAGGGGTTAGGGTTAATGTTAGTGGGAACTACAACTCCAAAACTCATGGGCAATGCCCAGCAAACCCTTCCAGTATTTTCTGTTGGTCATGGGAGTTCTGTGTGCTAAGTTTGATTCAATTCCATCATTGGTGGAGTTCAGAATGCTCTTTGATTTGATTTGGTTAACTAGAAATCCCAGCAACTACAACTCCCAAATGACAAAATCAATCATTCCCCCCTCCCCTCCTACCCAAGCCCCCAATATTCAAATTTGGGCGTATCAGGTATTTGTGCCAAATTTCATCCAGTGAATGAAAATGCATCCTGTATATCAGATATTTACATACAATTCATAACAGTAGCAACATTACAGCTATGGCATAGCAACCTAAAAATTAAGGTTGGGGGTCATCACAACACAAAGAACTGAATTAAGGGGTCATGGCATTAGAAAGTTTGAGAACCACTGCTCTAGTCTCGTTGCCACCCTGCTGCCTCTGTCTTATTTGAATGCCTTGGTGGGGTAGCATTTTCCATGGAATGACTTTGACTTATCCACCAAAATCCATAATTTTGTTCCAAAACATGTGCTCTATTTATACATTAGGTCAACTTATACATGGGTATATATGGCACCTTACTTTCTGCAATGCTCGAAGTGTGGGTGTGTGAGGAAAGTTATACCAGGGACAGAATTCTTTGGGAAATGACACTCCAATCCCATTGTAAGTATACCACTGAATGGGATTGCTTCACAACTGGAACACAGATGGACCAATGGGCTCCACAACTGGAAGGCAGATTCCAATTGTTTAGGAATATCTTGTACCTGTGTGCACTTTTTGAAGTGGAAGTGATGTGAACCCCT